CCCGCGACCATGGAGATATAAACAGCTTTTTATAAGGTAAAAATAATAAAACAAGGTCTTTGTCTGCAATGATTAGACATGTTTTTTATTATTATCATTAGTGATTATCTCAATTTCGGCTAAAAGAATTGACAAAATCCTACACACTGTGCCTTTAAATACAAAAAGTGCTGTGTAAAAGCTGCTTTATTAATTAAAAATATTTTTGGGGCAAACTTATGTGTTTAGCCTGCTTAAAGARGCTGTCTGCCATGAAGGATTTTTATAAAAGTCGCCACTACAAAACGTTGCAKAAAGCTAAATATGARAAGTTTATTGAAGTCACAAGTACATAAACAACACACAACTTTTTACCAGAACTAGAACCACACAGCAGTCTGAACTCAAGGTGTTGTACTTCACCTGAGAGGGGTTCTCTGTGGGGCGGAACCTCAGCAGACTGAGCTCCAGGGAGGAGCTTTGTACAAATAGGCGGAGCTTAACCAGCAAGCCTTTAGGCAGCTGCACATGACGACCCCGGGAGATTCAAGGATTCCTCAAACATGCATGAATGAGTCAAAGCAACTCTGGATATATTTTTGATGATGACATTATATAAAGCTCAAAAAKGTAGATTTTTCATAAAATCCCCCCACCCCTTTAAATAATTTCCATCACAAAGTTCTAACAAAAAGACAATCCTACAAACCCCAAAATGGCACTTGTGAGAGGCATTTTTTATTTATATGTTGTGTGGTTTGGCATAATTCAGTCAAACACAATAAAAACATGAACCTACCTTTGCTGCTGATCTAACCCTGAGTGTACAGTCAGCTCCCTGATGTCCTGCTGCCACCGATGCATTTGTGAGAAAATATTCCCTCGGCTGCTCTCTGTGCCTTTGCTGTCGARGCTTGAAAGCTCAAACATGTCCTGGATTACTGCTTTTTTATTTTTTTTCTTCGTTTTATCTGAGCAGGCCTGCTGGATAAGCAGCACAGGGAAAATATTCTCAGCTTGTTCAACAAATAATTCAACTTTCTCCACTTTTTYTATTGTTTTGAGACAAAAATGACAGAGAAAGGCAAAAAATTTGATTGCTTTCACAAAGTTCTCACTAGTCTGTCACTTGATTTAATAAATAGAAAATATTGCACTGGGTTTGCAAAACAGCACTCGCGTTGTTCTTTTTTAGRTGTAAATAAAATTCATTTTATTTTTATGTGCATGAAAAGCAACAAGGTACAAGTAGAGCGTTTGTAATTCACTTACCAGGAGAAAAAAAGGATTTATTTATCTTATGCAAATGAGAGATTAATACACTCAAGCAAAGCAAAAAAAGCATCCAAGCCGCAACTGGCTAATCAATCATGGTGTGGGTGTGACAGGTACCGCAGCTCCTCATATTGCCTTCAAAAACAAATTCCTAACAACACAGATGGCAGAAACACACACACAACAAAAAACACACGACAAAGTGGCACGAGCTCTCACTCATCAGCACGCACTGAGGAGAAGCCTCTGAGAAGAGGATCAATCACAGCATGAGAGGGGCGAGGATAAAAAGACATAAGAGAAATGAAATGGAAAGACGAGCGCACATAAACATGCACACACGAACACACAAACACTAACCAAGGTGTGTGTGCTCTTATGGCTGAGGACCCAGAGTGGAAGACTAACAACCACAGACACAACAATGACTCATTGTGGCTTATTGCTCTCATCAAACTGGCACTGATGGGGATTCCTAGAACGTACACACACACACACACACACACACACACACACACACACACACACACACAC